AGAATGGAATTTGTGTGTGTGTGTGTGTGTGTGTGTGTGTGTGTATGTATGTATGTATGTATGTATATGTATGTATGTATATATGTATATATATATATGTATATACATACATACATACACACACACACACACACACACACACACACACACAAATTCCATTCTCAACATTGAGAGTCACTAAAGAGATCAGTGATAGTTGTCGCCAAAGTAAGTCAAATGAGGTGCAGTCACAAAAACGTTTACTAAAACCTCTGAGTAATCATATTTGAAAATGGGCTATAAAGATTGTTAATTGGGTCAAAACTCTCTAGGGCTTTCCACAAATGCAGAAACAGAAAAGGTACCTAATCTTATGAGACATGTGCTGACATTATCACATTGCCAGGAACCATGATTCAAGAAAGTCCTGGGGCTTATTTTTCCCAGTGTTTTCTAGGCATTTTAATCCTCACACGTCTATATCTAACTAAACCAAATTTGGACTCTTGCAGCTGCAATGATTAATAATGCCTAATTATTAATTATATTTGGTGCATGGTACATAACCGCAGTCAGCTTTGTTTAAAACTACAGGTTTAATCTTCAATACATTTTTTTTGCTAATTTCTTAAATTAACTAATGAATTGAATGAATGCTCCACTTGTTTTAGAATAAGGATCTCTGATCTCCAAAGAAACATAGTATGTTTTTTTTTTTAAAAAAAAAAACCAATTCTGGACAGCTTAGAGAAGTGTATTCACAGTTTGACTAATTATGTCTCTTAAATGGTGTAATTTCGTTACAGAAATGCAATTGATGGGTGGGTAAAATATTGAAATACAGTTTCATATTCAGATATAGAAAACATTCATCTCTAGTTATTAATTTGTCAAGTGCCAACTAATTTCATAAGTCTCCTTAATATTGGTAGTTTCCTTACTCCTAAATTAAACAGCAAACGCTAGTCTCTTACTGAAAGATCATATAATTTCATTGGTGCAGTTTCAATTCCTGTTTGTCAAAATGTGCATAATATTACCTGGTGTTCAAAGGGATGTTGAACACCACGTAATATAGTAAGGTATTGGTAATGGGTAATGTATTTTCATAGGAATTTTTCCATTCACATTTTGTACATCTTTTGTTTTCTGTGCTTTGTTCTCCTTACCAACAAAAAAACAAATGTTTTTAATTCTTCATTGGTTCTCGGTTTTGATTCTGCGTTTGTTCTCTCTCTCTTTTTAATAATTTATTTGCTAATGTATCCACAGGGTAGACATATAGAATTCTGCTTTGACCACCAGTGCTAGAAAATATGGCTCCACATAATAGGTTTCAAAATTTATCTAAAGTTAAAAATGGGTAGCAAAGGCTTAAAGGTGTATTCTTACTTACCTAAATGGAAAAAAAAGCTGACTCTAGCAAGAAAATCTTCTTTCCGTCTTGCTTTGCCTTATGTTTAATGGACATGCTTGATTGTCTCCTCTTCCAACAGTCTTCTGGTGTGAATCCTGTGGATTAACAGCAGCTAGTTTAAAAATACCAACATTTTGTTTCTCATGGCATCTGTTGTTAAATTAGTTCAACCAAACCAAGATGTGGCTATGCTATTTATGAGAACAATTCTGTTTGATGTAGTTGATGATTAGGGTTGATGAAATAACATAGAATCTCAATGATAAAATAGAAAAGTGGAAATATGATGAAAAGGCATTAACAATGCAGTAGTCTGGTATGGCAGAGGCCCCCATTCAAAAAAGATGCCTTCCGTGAACCAACAGATAACAGAAAATATTTGTAAATTTGTTCATCAGTGGAGATTTTGATTTTATGCTCCGTTTAATGGAAGAATTCAGGGGAGAGGTTTTTATTTGATCCTAACACTAATAGAAAATTATTGCTAACATAAAACTCCATAGCTGAAGTTTCCTAATAATGTTTGATCCAAAAGCTTGAATGTGTTATTGCTGTCATTCATGTGTTGAACATGCACCTCTGCATGAAAGTTTGTCATATGTATATTCATGCCTGAATGTGTATGCCTAAGGTTGTGAGAGACATGATGCATTTTTGGGAGAAACAGAGTGTAAGTGAATTCCAGCAAGATAGAATTGATTCAAAAGTGTTCTGGATGGATGTTCCATCTATAACTCTTGATGGGCTACTCATCTTCTTCTATATACATATATAAAAGTGTGTGTGTGTGTGTGTGTGTGTGTGTGTGTGTGTGTGTGTGTCAGCATAACTCTGGAACGCCTTGAGCAATTTCAACCAAACTTGGTACACAGATGACTTATTCTTTGGAAACAAATTATGTGGGGGTAAGACACCCCTAAAACCCCTTGGGGGGGTGTTCTGTTAAGATACAGCCTGGTGTGCCTTAAAATGGCTTCTACTGTACTGCCGTAAAATGGCTTCTACTGTACAGCGCAGTGGAGTTGCCATGGTAATGGCTTCACAGCACTCCACAAGGAGGCTCCCTCTGATAAGGGAAGAAAATCCAACATTAGAAATTACGTTTGGTCCGGACATTTTCCCCCTATAAATAAATACCCGGGAAACGCCGGGTTATCGGCTAGTTTCCCATAAAAGTGGTGGTGCCATTCTGGCAATTCTGCTAGAAAGATGGCTCCTGCTAGAACAGCAAATTTAATTCATGACCAGAAAAGACTTTGTCCAGTTTTAGCTGCTTTGCCAATGGCACCCATTGTTAAACCAGAAAACCCTGTCATCTCTCAGTTACACAACTCTGTTTGATGTCTCAAAGGTGTTTTTCTAAAACCCAACTTGGTTTTGTTTTCTTGAAAACATTTTGCTTCTTATGACCTGGATGATTGAGAACCTCCATAGAAACTGAGTAGGATGTATATGAAGCTTCTTTGAAGGCAAGTCAGAGCCTATAGCTAGCCCAAAATGTAATAGCTGGCTTGCTGACTGCAAGACTACAAAGAGTCTCATTCAAGATGCTGGTGATCACCTATGAAATCTTTTGCTCCTTGCATCCTTGTTGCTTTCTTCTTCTTGTAGACTCTATACTTAACGTTTTGCTCTGAGTACCCACTCTTAAATGTCAGGGACTGTAACCTAGAGGTTCAATCCTCTTCTTTGGATATGCTTGACCCTCAAGGTTAAATCTTCTCTAAGGCATTTGATATTTATACATTTACTGTTTATGTTCTTTATAATGTTCTTTAATGTACTTTCTTTCTTTATACATTTATTTATAAATTATTTATACATTTACAAAGTTATTTATTGTTTTTAATAGGGGGCTTTTTTTTTTTGCTTTTTATGAATGTTTTGAAAAACACAAAGAATTGGAAGAGGACACCACATATGAATGTTGGCAAATCTATAAAAATATTAATTTCCACATGAACCAGGATCCAAGAGGTCATTTTAGCGATGCCAACAAAAGGTTTATCCTGAGCACTCATGCTGCAGATGTCATGAGTGACAGTGATAGAGCAAGCAAATGTGGAAGTAAGGAATTGCTGCTCGCGGAATGAGAAACTGAAAGGATATTACAGTTATAATGAAGCGGGGAAACAAATTACAATGATGGGTTTTAGTAGCAGGAACAGACAATATACCACACAAAGAAGAAAGGAGATATTCCTGAAGAAATTTCAAGGATTAAAAGGAAGGAAGAAGATACAGTATTTTTATTATGAATTAGAACCTAGAGGAAACTACTATGCATTTTGAGATGTAGTGGCTGATGCTGAGCTTGTCGATAAGAAGGTCAGCAGTTCGGCAGTTCGAATCCCTAGTGCCGCATAACAGAGTGAACTCCCATTACTTGTCCCAGCTTCGAACCTAGCAGTTCGAAAGCATGTAAAAATATAATTAGAAAAAATAGGAACCACCTTTGGTGGGAAGGTAACAGCGTTCCATGCGCCCTTGCCATTTAGTCATGCTGGCCACATGACCATGGAGTTGTTTTCGGACAGCGCTGGCTCTTTGGCTTTGAAACGGAGATGAGCACCACCTCCTAGAGCCGGAAACAATATATGTGCCAGGGAAACGTTTACCTTTATACATTTTGTTTAATTGCAATTATTGGAAAACTACTGGGGGTTTTAAGTTTGCTCCTGGAATATGCGGACAATTACATTCACAAATGGGTATATTCGGTCTTGAACAGGCCAGCCTGATAAATTTTAAATGAAAGTGAAAAGGATCAGAATCAAGAAAAAAAGAGTTAGAAAATTAAACTGCACATTTCTCTAAGTTCAGTGGTTGTATTTGGATTTTGAGGAAGCTCACCGTGGAAGAATAAGATTGATTTGACTTCTAAAGCAGTAGAGGTCCAATCACAGATAAATAACTTTTCAACAGAATACAAGGCAAAAGTGAGGTTAGAGTCCCAAAATATACATCCATCTATTTTAGCCTTTTTTGTTTGCTGGTTTTAACCAAATGCCATTTCACAGGCAAACTGTTGAGTCTAAAAAAATGAGTAACTTATCTGAATGTGGCTATAAATACTACCCTTAGTGTTTGAAGTTGTTAATTAGAAAAAGAGGCTAGATATTGTATAATGAGTAAGTAGGCATAGCACAGAGAAAAAATTATCTCACATTTCAAACAACTTGTTTGAAAACCTTGAACAATCGATAGTCACGGAAGCCATCCATAATGATGGATTATCAAGGATTTATTAAACGTATTGTTAAGTAGTATTAGTGGTTGCGGTAGAAGCAGTAACAATAATTGTATTAATTTTGTATCACATTTTCTTTGCTCTACTGAACCTTTAATATTGCAAACAAAATTTAAAACCAGTAACAATAGAACAAATGTTAAAGATAATTTAGAAATATACTACAATCAAATACCATAGTGACTGTAAACTAATGAAATTTTAATAATGGAAAAGACACATTTATGGAGGAAAACCTGAATACTGCCTTACTGGATTTTATATAATGAATTCCTGTCCTAAACTTCATCCAGGATGATTCCATTTCATTTTGAACCCCTTTTGTAACCTAAATTCCTTTATTTTTATGCCATTGATGCTGGAAATGTTAATTTAAAAAACCTTACTCATTTTCTTTTCTCATTCATAATTGGGCAAATGGCGATTGTCACAGTCATTTAACTTTTTGACCTGTTCCTTTAGAAAATATGCAGTACCGCTCTGAAAGGAAAAAATTAATTCGCCGAACCCAACATTACAAGTACCACACACTGCTTCTGATTTAGAATAGAGACTTACAAACTGAGAATATGATGTCGTAGAAGCCTATATGGACCTTTTATGTCGTATGAATATAAGGACTGTACAATCAAGGACGTGTTCTCCGGTGACCAAGATGCCAATAACCATCCTTTAAAGGAGGCCATAAGCACAATAGCCCCATCTTACTTCTATTGTCCAGCAACAACCATGTCAGATCATACAGTCTGCATACAGTCTGTATCCCCTCCTAGTTCTGCCTGGATGCCCACTGATGCTGAAAAAGCCAAGCCAGGTGAAAGATTTGTGTGTCAAATAAATTGAATGCACTGGACACATCATATATGACACTTTAAAAAAAAATTGTGCAGACGTGACCTCCTTCAGTGTCCCCATACTCCCAACCTGAGCCGACAATGAATCAATGCTACGTGTTGAAATGAATGGTGTGACACACTTGGGAAAGCTTTTCCTTAATGGCTTGCTCAGCACTTTGTTGTTAGTTGGCAGCACAGACCAGTTTGACCCAATTTGTAACTCTAGATGTGGAAGCTTGATTTATTCCTTTTAAAATGACCACTTATACTTCTTGGAATTGCCTTCCTGCATATTTTGATCTGCTCCAGCTGCTTAAGATCTTGCCATGTACACCATTATCAGTTTTAGTCTCTACTGTAGTTCTTCCTGCTTTAATGGTGTGTGTGTGTGTGTGTGTGTAGGGGGAGGTGTTGTTTACCTTTTCTTCCTTGTGGCCCTTGTTTAGTGAATGAATTAGGTTTAGTGAATGACAGATTTTCACCTTCCTCCATTTAAAATATGCACCTCTGTAAAATTGTCTCATTGAGCAATGGCGCAAGTTGCCAATTGAGTTGTAATTTTTCTTGCCTTTTTTTAAAAAAGCTGATTTCTGTAAAAGAGATTCCCCATTCTTCCCTTGGTTAAATTGTTCAAAGTAATATTTAAAGAGAAAGTTGTTAAGTAATGCCAAGCACCAATGAAAGCATCACTTGAAAACTTATAAAATTATTCAGGGTAACCCATTTCTTTTCTCTTTTTTTTTGGGGGGGGGGAACTGATAGCATCAGGTAGATGTTGAAACAAAATGGTCCAGATTCCTTTCACTGAGCCCTGTTCTGTCGACACCATAAGACGTATTATTATTATTTTTTAATGTATGTATGAAATGAATACAAGCATGCCAATTCAACTGGACTTCAGTCCACAGAATCTTCGCTAAGAAAAGGGCTGGATCCTCACACAGACCATTGGTGAGGCCAACATCTATCATCTATTTTCCCGGGTCTGCTGCTGATTCCAGTCCATCATTTTTAAATTCTGCAATTTAAATCTAGTGTCCAACATGGACACTTACAAAACTCCAAAGGTAAATCAAAAACCAGAAAGTATTGGTTTCCTTTTACTTTAACTAAGAAAAGTGAGATTCAAGAGTTGGTTTATTATGCCTGGTAGAAATCTAATAAATTAGAGGCAGCAATAGTTTATAGAAATATGAGTGACTTTAGATTATAACTTTATCTCACGTTCACAAATTGTTACTTCTCATAATGGAATCTTTTGTATTTGTTTTAGGAGATGAGAGTGTTTTGGGATGAGAGAATGAGAAGTCTAAGCTTCCATTAAATAGGATGCCCACACCTATATATTTCTTCTTTCACTTCATAAGAATGTAGCACCTCATAAAAATATAAGCAGTAGAATTGTTGAAAATGATTTTTCAAAAGCAAAGCAAATGTTTGCCCGAAAGAATTAAGGCTATTTTTGGTTTATGTTTTACTTAGTAATATAATTGAACAAGACATAATTTAAAAAAAAAACAGTCTGAGTGGTCATGGGCATTAATCATAGTTCCAGTTAACATTTAGAGTTCTCCATATACTCTTATGGTGCGGAAATCATTGATACCTATATTAATTTTTCATATGGTCCTCAAAATCATATCAGGTGGTAAGCTGACAATTTTTTTTAATTAGCCACGTTGCTTTTGGTTTGTGATTTTCTCATGATATGCCAAACACAGTGGTCCCAAAAAAGCAGCAATATTTCAAGTGTATGAAGAAGCAAGGTAGTTAGCAATCTTCGTTTGTTTGAATGAGAAAATGAAATAAATACTTTCAATCAAAATTTTATGAAACAGGCTGGTTTTTTTATATGCTTTAATTGAATTCTAAATAGGATGGGGCCACGTAGCAACATAGAGGCTGCATTTGATGATTAATACTTTGAGGAAACAAAGAACCAACTTTTTTCTAAAATGTAACATATTAGCATTATTTCCAATACGTTATTTTACTGAAGAAATAATTAGCTTCACATACAAACAAACACACACACAATATTGCTCCTGGCAACAATAATATACATTTCAATATCTCAATAATTTAAATCATTTGTTTTGTAGCATACTGTACATACTTGTCCACAAATGTAAAGTTGTTATGACCAACATAATTACAAAAACAATTGATTTTTGAATGCACGTTTCAATCTTTAATTCCAAAGACTTAAAATGATCCTGATTACTTGGTTAGAATCGAGGCAGAAAGATGCAGCTGACAAAAAAGAGAAGCTCTTTATAACGCTTTCAAGAGGCAAACTGGTATCACACAATAAGTATTCAGAGTACAAACCATTTTGTGTCTTACAGCCATCACTCATTATTAAGGTCTGTTTAAGGTCTGTACTTTAGGGCTTTTTCCCCTCCTTTTTCTTCTAAAAACAACTATATACAGTACAGTGCTTTTAATGGCAACTATTTTTATTTTGCTACTGCTTTGTGCTTGCTGTAGATGAAGTTAGAATTCATTTCATTTTTAGGGTTCTTTCTTATAGTGGTGGGTAGTGTATTGTGGGAAGTAGAACAAGGCAGTGTCCTTCCCATGGCTGTATTGATTTGCCCTTCAGCTGTTTGCATAGAGAACCTAAAGCCTTGTTGTTGATTATCCACACAATGTCTCTGTGAACATTATTGACCCATTGCTGCTTACTGCCTGTGGCTCTTGATTTTTCACACCGTCTCCATGACACTCATAATAAAACATACTATCTTATTGCTACTCAGCTCTGGAAAGCAACTGATGGTGCTTTAATACAACTGCTGTATTTCTGGATAACATTTATTATATGTTGGAAGGAGACCCTACATATGCTTTTAAGGTTTTGTGCATTGGGAAGGGCTTGAGCAGATTTCTACAATTTAGAACAAAAATGTTATTTTTAAAGAATTGGTGAATTGTGCAACTGAAAATGAACAGGAGAGTAAGCATAACTGAGAGATTCAGCAATGTCTCACTGCAATCATTTTTA